AGCTCATGTGAGCTATTTTTTTTTAGTTGGTTCCTTATGGTCTGTTCCTCTAGTAAGCTATTTTTTTTCCTGACTCGAATTTGTTAGTTGTGCTTTTGGTTTCTGTGTTTCTCTCTTGTTTTCTTTTTTGGAGATTTAGACAGTGATGAGCTTTTGTAGTTGATGTTGATGTGATTGGTGGCTGTGATCATGCTTTTGTTCTTGGTGTTTGTTAGGCATTTTATTTTTTTGGATTTTCTATTTGTATTTGGTGTTCTCTATAATTTTATTCATTTTTGTGTGAGTTGTAATTTGGAGATCTTATATTGTAACTCACTATTTTCTTTTCAATAAAATTAAATAACTTTTTAAGAGAAAAATTAGACATGACCTCATATTTCCAATATATATATAGTGTGTGTGTCTTAGTCTGATTCATTGGTTGCGACCTTTGATGTAAGTTCCTCGGTCGGGGGTTCAATCCCAAAGTAAGATCGAAATTCACACCTTTCTGGAGAGGGGGTTCGTCCCTCGGTTAGACTATGGGATTGATTGACGATCCACCTTTAAATATATACATATATACATATATACATACACACACACACAAAGAAAATCAAAGGTAGCGGGGCACATGGATGGAGTGGTCAACTGGAATCCTAGCCGTTCAAGCTCGAAAGGGACTATATAGGCCTCAAGAACCCTGAAGCGTGGAAACTCGGCGCAGCGTGGACGAAAAGGCGCTAGGGTTTCCTCGGAAATTAGAAGGTGCGGTCTCCTTCCAATCTTTCTGAATCTAATAAGATTATGCTAGGAGCTTTGATGTTTGAATACATCTATTTTCTCTAAGTCGATATGCTTCCAAGTTTCTTAGCCGTATCGCTCACGAAAATGGATGTTATGTGCATGATATTTCTAGAGTTTTTATTTGAGAATTTTGTGCGTTCGCTTCGTTTTTTTGGCCTTTTTGTTTTCTTACCAACCTGATGTGATTAAAACTGTTTTTGTTGTTGATTTATATTTGATATGCGGGGACTGTGTTCTAGATTTTGTTTATTTATTAAGATGCTTCGTTTGGCGGATTTGGTTTTGCCGTACATGCTGTTGTACATCATTTACCCTTGAATTTGGAAAATTTTTCTTCTTGTATACTTTTATTCTCGACTGTGTGAATTGCTAATTATTTGCACCAGATGCTGTGCTTTCTGGATTAAAATTTTGTTTGATTCTGTCCCTTGAGATATAGCATCCCAATGTACTATAGTATTTATTTTGACGAGTTTCTTGTATCGCAAAATCTACAATTGTTTTGTGTTTAAGTCCATGTCTTTTTCTTGTATCTCAAAAAAGTTAAATTGTTTTGTATTTAAGTTCCTGTTTTTACAGAACTTGGTTGCAGATTGTATTCAAAATATTGATTATGAGTTCTTGATGCTTTAGTAATTAGCTCGGGTGATTCAAGTTTTGTTGTGGAAGTTGTAAAATTCTCTTCCCCTCATTAAGTTTGTTGCCTCTGTCAGATGTGATTTAATCTTTATTGTCAGATTTCTTGTATCTCAAAATTTTGACTTCTCATGTTAAAATCCATCTCTCTGTAGCAGTTGAATGCAAAATATTTGAAAATATTGACCATTAGTACTTGATGCTTCATTGATTTGAATGGTGCTTCATGTTTTGTTGTATAGGTTATAAAATTCTCTTTCTTCGTTAAGTTTGTTTACCCTGTCAGATATTGTGATATAATGTTTCTTTTTTCTTTTATCTCAAAAAAATGATTTGATTTATTATGTTAAAGTCCATATCTTTGCAACAGTTGAATGTAAAATATTTGAAAATATTAATATAGTTATTGATGCTTGGTGAGTAGCACGGGTTATCCAAATTTTCTTTTAAGAGTTCTGAAATTACATTCACTCTATAAGTTTGCTACAGAGAAGTCCCAAAAGGCATGCTTACGAAGGACCATCTCTCATTAAGTTGAAGTGTGATCCCATCGATGTAATTAAGAAAGCTTTGTATAATCTTACCTCATATATCGCTTGCTTTTTTTTTTTTTATTGGCTTTCAAGTCAGTCGGTAACTTAATATTGAAGCAGTTTTAATAGTGAAGCAGTTAAATTTTTTTCGAACTTAAATTATTATTAAAAAATTGATATTTTCATTTGAGGGTCAATTTTTAATAGTGAATGTGGTGCTGATCACGTCTAATTGTCTTACAAATGTGCTATTATTTCCACTTGCCTCTTTCCATATCATGAATTAGATATTGTTGGGTTTTAGTGGAGTTGGACAACTTCTTAAATATGTGGAGGCTAGATATTGTTGGGTTTTAGTGGAGTTGGAGAACTTCTTAAATATGTGGAGGGAAACGGCAGGTAGGAATTGAGATGCTTTTATGTAATAGTGTACCCGTTATCTTTTCACATGAGCAAAACTTCCCATGGACCAATTGATAGATAGTTGCTATTTATTTCTTCAACTTGGTAACTAGCTCTTTTGTTCTCGGCTCATGTTGATTTTACTTTGCATCAACTAATTTGCTAATTAGCTGTCGTGCAGCCTATTCAAGAACTTCCAAGCTTGATTGCTATTAAAAAATCTACATAATAATTTCTTTTATTATTTTCATTGTAGTTGCCTATGAGCTGAACTATTTTACAAATTCTACACTCCAAAGTATATGTTAAGTTTGTCTCCCCTCCCCACAGCTTACCTTTCCCCTTTTGCTCTTCTGGCATTGGTAGCTGTGTTTTGCTTTCTTGCAACTTCTCTATGTTGTATTTGCTGTCCCTGTTTCCTTTCTTTTACGTTTTATGGGTTTTCCCTTCTTCTTTTGTTAAATGTTGATATTTTCCTGTTGCTCTAGAATTATTTTCATGGCTGATTCTTCAAGCCTTTCTTTTACAGTTTAACCTTTATCAAAAATAGCAAAGTAGGATAATTTATCTTGTTTTGATTTATGAAATCAACTGTAACTGCTTGGCTGAAATCACCTATAAAAGGAAATCATTATTTCATTGGTAAAGATGATTGGAATTTAATCTATATCTGTTCTGGCATTTTCTAAGAACAAATTGAATTTCAATTTATTCTTGTCCACACTTCTGTTGGATTTCTTTCATGGAAAAGGCAGTGAAGCAAATACAAGATCCTTTCAAGAAGCCAAGTAATTTCGCTGGCATATTTGCCATTGTTCTGTTTGTGCTGGACAAAACCTCTTTGAAACATGGGGGTAGGTGGGGGGACTTTTATTGGCATATATGCATCGACAGTGGAATGGGATGAATTGACTTTAGATTTTTAAAAATATCTTGTCGCATTCTTTATTTATCCATTCATAACTGGGCCTAGAATTCATGTTCCATCTCATTAGGCAATAGAGAATAAAGAGATCAAGTAAAAAAGGCTGTGTCCCTCGGGTAAACCAAAAATATTCAGTTTGAACTGAAATTACTAAAATAAAGTATTATTTCTTAGACTCAGAGCATTTTGATCTCCAGAGAATAATCTATTTTGTTATTGTAGAGAAAAATGCCCTTCATATGATGAAATCAAATAATTGTGCTTAATCTTTTTCACTTTTGAATTCTCGTTTTAACAGCCTTTTCTTTTTTTGTTTAATTTGAAACAATAAACCCATATATGGAAAGTAATGCTATAATGCTCCAAAATTCTGAACTTGCTGCTCTCTCTTACTTCCCGTTCTGCTATTACCATACATTTAGCAAAATTATTGGGCAGATATAATGTCCTCGAGTATGAAATATTCACATGATTCTTAGACTGTACGTCATAGACCACACAGAGATTAATCTTACAGCTTTTACTTCTTTCTTGATTGGATTACCACTACAGCTAGTGGTGCCTTTGTCCCGGTAATTGTAGGATCTGGTTCATGAGTCAATAAGTCGAAGTTTTTTTTCTTTGTTTAGTGGTTTTTGTGCCTGAGAAAATGAGTTCAAGAAATGGTTCCCACTAAATCGTGTTCATTTCATCTTGGTTTTAACCTTTTTGTCCTTCTCGTTCTCATTTTTTTCATCTTCCCTTCTACATGTTTGGTGCTTCTTGATGGGAAGTTAGCAGTCGAAATATCCATCAATCACTGGAGCTCTCCTTTAAGTGGCATATATGCATAAAGGATGGAATGGGATGAATGGACTTCAGATTTTTAAAAACATCTTGTCGCATTCTTTATTTTTCCCTTCATAGGTGAGTTTAGAAATCAAGTTCCATCTCATTAGACAATACAGAATAAAGAACAGTAAAAAGGCTGTGTCTATCAGGTAAGCAAAAGTTTTCAGTTTGAACTGAAATCACTAAAATAAAGCTTTTGGACTCAGCCTAACTATTGAGCATTTTAATCTCCAGAGAATAATCTATTTTGTTATTGCAGAGAAAAATGCCCTTCGTATGATGAAATAAAATAGATTTGCTTAATCTTTTTTGCTTTTGCATTCTCGTTTTAACAGCCTTTTCTTTTTTTTTTTTTTGTTTACTTTGAAATAATAAACCTATCTATTGAAAGCAATGCTATAATGCTCCAAACTTCTCAACTTATTACTCTCTGTTACTTCTCATTCTGCTATTGCTATTACATCTAGCAAAATTATTGGGCAGATATATTGTCCTCTAGTATGAAATATTGACATGATCCTCAGACTGTACATCATGGAGCACACTGAGATTAATCATACACTGAGATTAATGTTTGCAGAAGCGGTTGTCGGCAGCAGCAGTATCGCAATAGTAGTTGTCTTTATAACTGGTAGTGCTGGTGGGCGCTGGTACTGATAGGTGTTTTTAAAAATAGTAAATAAAACTTGAATTTTATTTTGAATGTTTTAAAAATTATCTTAATTTAACTTTAACAGAAAAAAATTGAGAATAATTAAAAACACACTAAACAAATAAGTTCTTAAAACAAAAGCCAAGGTGATCTGAAACAGGCCCATAGAATGAAAAGGAATGGATATAGGGGAACATTGATGTGCATTGGTTAGATGGTTAGTGGTTGATCCCCCGTAATTTCTCATTGTTACTTTTCAAAAATGCTATAGGGACACATTGATGTTCACCCTTAAGTGATGCTTATTATGATTTTTTTTTTTTGTCAACTTCAGGCATTGTATTTATGCTTAAAATTTTGATTATTGTGTAAATTTTTCTTTCCGAGTTCCACAATATTCTACTTTGCTGCAGGTTGCAGTGGAAGGATGCCTCGTTACAGTGACCGCCATGCGAACACGAGACTTTATGTTGGACGCCTATCTTCAAGAGTTCGTTCGCGTGACCTTGAGGACCTTTTCAGCAGATATGGAAGGTATTATATCCTGTTCTTATAAATGTTTTCAGCATATTATTACTACATTGCTCTTCCTATGGATTAGTTAACTCTGCCTATGTAGCCGGTCTCTTGTTGAAGCTTTTGCTGGCTAGCCTGTGCCCTGTTCTTATAAATTTTCCCAAATTAATGTTGTAGTAGAAGGTAGCTTAGGTCAGCTATATAGGTTTTCTTCCTATAGTCATCTAGTTGTGTATGTAATCCAAATCTAAGCTCTAAGGGGGATTGTACAATTCTGATTTCTTTTTTGAATTTAGTTTGTCCTTTGTGCGTTTTAATAAATTTTACTTTATTGCACGTATAAATTGTTTGTCTCGCAGTCCGTAATCTTTAAAACAAAATTAATGACTGGTGAAGGCTTGCTTAATTCTATTTGTTTACGTGTGTGTAGTCTTTTGGTTGATTTTTTTGGCGGTTCTCTTGTTGTTCACTTCTATGGAAACACTTATATATAACACCGATTTTGTAAAATGGGCTGTAGGATGAAACAGAAATCTTATTGGGGCCATATTCCTTTGACAAGCCAGTAAACCTACTTCCAGGTTTCTGTGTATTTTTTAGGAGTTTTACGCACAAGCCACTCAATTCCTATGTATTTACATATCTAACACCTAAACTTCAATTTTTACATATATGCCATCTTTCTTATTCATGAAAAGGTGCATTTCACTTTTTAAAAGTGAAAATAGTGTTATTTTTAATGTGGAGGATTTGAGTGGTATAAATGTAAAAAATGAAGTTTAGATGCTGGATATAAAAACACATAAGAATTAGGTGGTAGGGAAGTAAATGCCCCCTTTTTTTATTTATCACGTGAGAAGGTTTAGCCCTAGGTGTCTTGTATCTTAACATTAATGATCTTGTTGAAGGTTTTTGGGCTTTTTCCCAACCTGGAGGTCCCCGGTGGGAGGGTGCCCTTGATGGAATTGGTGGCTGTTGTAGGAGACTTTGGCGATTCTTTCTGTAATATTATGTTTTTATGGAAATGGCAACAATCACAAAGTGGTGTTTAAGTGATGATGGCCTTACTCTTTGTGGCAACCGTTTACGCAGAGTACGGGATGTGGACCTGAAGTACGACTACGCCTTTGTTGTATGTTAACCTCAACTTCTTATATTCCTTCTTTTTTTTGAGTAAATGTTTTTGAAATTTTTTATTTTCTATTTGCAAAATCAAGGTTTTGGTATTTGCCAAGCCACTGTCCATATAAGTTGTCATTTTACCCAACTTTTTTTTAATTATGTAATAAAATCAGGAATTTAGTGATCCACGAGATGCTGATGATGCAAGGTATAATTTGGACGGACGAGAATTTTACGGTGCTCGTATTATTGTTGAATTTGCCAGAGGGGTAAGTATAGATCCATTTACGTTAACAAGCAAGATTTGAGAACCAAGATCCACTTGTTTTCTTTTCTGTTAATCCCTTGTTTTGTAGCATTTGTTGCAGCTTTGAATTTCACCTACTTAGGTGTATAGCTGAGCTAAGCCTACTCATGAGCTGGCTCGCGCTCTGCTTCTTAAAAAAATTTATGTAAAATATACTCAAAATATATTTAAATTCAAGACTCTTATCTATAAATTATTAAAAATGTTTTAAAATAATATTTTACATTTTATATCAACTAATTTTTTATTATTTATCTCCTAATTGCTCGTTGTATTTGTGCTGTTATTATAACATTAGATTGAATTAATATTTTTCTCTTTTATAATCTCAACTCTTAAAATAAAGTTTGAGCTCGAATTTGCTTATTTAGACTTTGGCTCATTTACATCTCTACATGTATTTAACATTATGTGGGTATTGGTTTAATCTCTTTGTGCTTTGCTTAAATCTTTAAATTTAGTTTAATTGGCCCATTATGTAGGGCCCACGTGGTCCCGGAGGTTCTCGTGAATATCTTGGGAGGGGTGCACCACCTGGTTCTGGTCGCTGCTTTAATTGTGGTCTTGATGGACATTGGGCGAGGGATTGCAAAGCAGGGGATTGGAAAAATAAGTGCTATCGATGTGGTGACAGAGGTCATATTGAGAGGAACTGTCAGAACAGTCCCAAGGAGCTAAAGTGCGTTGCTTTCTTGTGGCCATTCTTCTTTGTTATTTGAATTTGATGACATGTTTGTTGGTATAATTTTGCAACTTGTTATCTATGTTGTAGGCGTGGGCACAGTTATTCTCGCTCTGCATCTCCTCGACGTGGTGGAAGGAGCCGTAGCCGAAGCTATAGTCGAAGCCGGAGCTATAGGTATAATTCTATAATTTGGGTACATTGCATTTATATGATGTCGTTAATTCTATTTTATAGATTTGGCTGAACATTATGCTATTTATTTTTAGGTGTATTTACATGCATACCACCAAATTCTTATATATTTACATATATTTTACCAAATTTTGCATTTTACTTTTTATACCACCCAGTTGTATTTTTTTTATCACATCAAACGTATCATTATTTTAACTTTTTATTGGTGAACCACACATTTTCATTTATAGATACGGTGCCATATATGTAAAAATTAAAGTTTAGGTGTTAGATTTGTACATACATAAGAGTTTATTTGTTTTATTTAAATCTTCCTTGTTTGTAATGCATTTACTATCTTGCAGTTGATGAACTTAACTAATGTTTATTTCTGTTCCTTCAATTAATAGTTTGTTTGGTCGGCTACAACAATCTTTAAAATTCGTTGTAAAATTAATGTGAAAAAATATATTATTCTTGGTTTTATTATTATTTCTTTTTTTTTTTTGTAAAAAAATCAAATTACTGATTTCCTATACCCATCTCACTCCAGCATTGCTTCCAATCATGATTTTTTTGTAAAAAAATCAAATTACTGATTTCTTATACCCATCTCACTCCAGCATTGCTTCCAATCATGAAATTTTTGCGAAGTAGCGAAAAAGTTGCTGTGCATTTTCTTGTAGCTGTGTATTTTCTGCAACCGTTACGCTAATTTTTGTAGTTTTCAATTGTTATGATTTTAGTTTTTTAATCCATATTCTAGCAAGATTTTTTTTTGGGAATAACTTATATATCTTTGTTGCTTTATTGTAATTGACAATATATTGAGTTAGCATATTTTTCTTAAATTATTTTTATTTTTATATTAATATCACGGCGCATGCGTCGACAACATTATAAATAAATACTAAAGAATCTCCTGGAAAAAAAAATATATCATTGCAGTGTGTAATGATTTTTTTCATATTTTTTCGAAAATGATAATCATATGTAGCAGTGTCTTTAGTATTTAATTTCTTCCCATCTTCATCACGTTTTCCAGTCTCCTTCCTTCGACCACCAATTAATTAATAAGAGAAAAGTATTTTTCCAACTTCCTCAAGCTTTCTCTGTCCTCTTCCCAACTTGCGGGTCTTTTTGTCTTCCTCGACGTCTCTTTCAATTGTTTCTATTGGTGCGGATTAACCAAATATTTTCCTATTTTTTGTTCAATTACATCAGAAATCGGCTTTAAGACCATATCTTTTTGCTTTAGTTATGATAGTTTTACTGGACATTTACAGGAGGATGTATCTTGTGTATGGTTTTTGCTGATAATATCCTTCTCGTGGATAAGACGAGAGAAAAAAACCTAGGAAAAACTTGAATTATGGAGGTCTGCATTGAAGTCTAAAGGCCTTCATTTGAGTTGAACTAAAACTGAATACATGAATGTAATTTAGCAGTAGTAGCTCTAGTAACGGAAGTATAAATTTGGGTGATCAAATTGTTAAAAGGTGTCAAACGATTTAGATATCTCGGGTTTGTTGTTCAAAGCGATGGTGATATAGACGGGGATGTTAATAGTAGAATTCAAGTTGGTTGGTTGAAATGGAGGAATGCTTCGGGCCTTCTTAGATTGAAAGGAAAATTTTATAAGAGGGTGGTGAGACCTGCAATACTCTGGGCAATGCTCAATGGCAATGAGTCGGCCTTTAAAAGAGACGCATAATGCTAAGTTATGAGAATGATTAGGTGGATGAGTGGATTTACACTTTGAGACAAAATGCGAAATGAATATATCCAAGATAGGGTTGGTGTAGCTCCAGTGATGGACAAAATTAGAGAGAGTCGTCTTAGATGGTTTGGTCACGTTAAACACCGACCATCTGATGATCCGATTAGGAGAGTGGATGTTTTAGATTCGATTTATGTTAAGAAGGACAGAGGTACACCTAGGAAGACTTGGGCTTATTGTATACAAAATGATATGTGACACCAAATAGGACGCAATGGAGAAAAAAGATTCATGTAGCCGACCCCACGTAGTGGGATTAAGGCTTTGTTGTTGTTGTTCTATTTGGTAATTCAACATAACTTTGTTTCTTATAGGAAGACTTAATTCCCTATGTATGTAGATATCTAACGCTTAAACTTCAATTTAATTTAGGTGTTAGATAGAAAAAACAGATATCTAACGCTTTAATTCGATGGTTTAATCTCTTTTTTCTTGTGAAATAAATCAAATTGATTTCTTATGCCCATCTCACTCCAGCATTGCTTCTAATGATAGAAATTTTTCCAATGTTGCAAAAAAGTAGCTGTGAATTTTCTTTTAGCTGTGTATTTTATTGGGTGGGGGGGCAACATAACTTTGTTTCTTATTTGAAGACTTAATTCCCTATGTATTTAGATATCTAACACATAAACTTCATTTAATTTGTGTTAGATACTATAAATACTTAGGAATTTGATGGTTTATTATCTACTGGTTGGAAAATAAAACATCTAACTATTAGGCTAAGTAGGCTGCACATGATAGCTGAATTATAACCTCACCAATTCTTGATTGTTCTTTCTAATCCTGCAGCCGATCTCGATCTCCCGCACCAAAGAGAGACAGCCGTTCAAAGAGTCCACGTGACAGCCGGAGTCCGAGCCGGAGCCCTCCACCTTCCAAGGGAAAGAAGCACAGCCCATCTCTTTACGGGAGCCGAAGCCCTAGCCCTCGGCCCAAAGAGGAACGCAGGGAAGCCGAGCGAGAAGGTTCTGATTACAGCCGGAGCCCGAGGAGGGAGTACAGCAGGAGCCCCGCAAGTTCAGGAAGGGAGAGAACCCCAGCTGGTGTAAGGAGCCGAAGCCCAGAGGCCAATGGACGGAGCCCAAGCCCTCGGGATGATGGTGATGGCACCGATAACGGTTCTCCCAGAGGCAGTGAATCTCCTCGAGACTAAATAAGTTTGTGAGCTGTTCCTGAACTATTATGAGAAACAATGTGAACTTCGTTGTTTGAACTTGCTGCTGTTGTCATATTTAGTTATGCACGCTCATGCACTGCTTTCTTTGTTAAATTTTGTTGCCTTGGTTTTTTTTTTAATTTCTCGGAACTCGATTTGGCACTTTATTTGCTTAGGTTTGAGGATTTTGAACTATGGTGGTATTTATTTTTTGTGGTCAATATTGCAAATGCAACTGGTATGGGGTTTGCAGGGATTCTGTTCCTAGTGAAATTATTATGTATCTACATATTTAATTTTTTTTTTTTTTTTTTTTTTTTTTTATTCTATGTATCTACATATTTAATTTTTTTTTTTTTTACATGCATTCCACCTTATCTACGCATGAAAAGTGATTCACTATTAACAGGATAGTGATATCTTTTGTGAGATATGAAAGATTTAGGTTGTATGAATGTAGGAAACAATGATTAGATAATTATGAGCTGTGCAAATTTTTTTTAAATTCTGTTATATTTTGCTGGTTCTTACAAAATTGGAAAGTTCGAGGCTTCACGGGATATGGGAAAATATAAAAAAAGATTGAAAAACAAAAGAGCAAAAGAAAAAAAAGATGGGTTTATGGGGAGCGCTTGAAATGTGATTGAATAGTTAACGTAAGTGTAAATTGTTTTTTTTTTCTTTTTTTTGAAAGTAATGGCAAGCCTTCATCGTTTACTAAGCAATCATCATTATTGGAGTTGACGTGTGATGATATAACACCTTTTACTTAAAAAATTTAGATAATAATCGAGTGAGATGTAGTTCGCATGTGATTAGCCAGCAATTAACTTAAAACGAGGGAAATAATTAAAATGAAATATTTCCATGTATGATATTTTGCAGCAAGTTTTTATTAAATTGTTTATTAGCAGCAATGTTGTATGCTGAAAATATAATGTATGCATCATTTTTGTAACCGATTTCTACATGCATTCACAAGGCACCGTTTAGAACGTCTCAAGCATCGGCAGTCATACTTCCACACATAGTATATCTTGGTCCTCTAAATTGCAAATTTTAAGTTTATATATCATTATATTGTCTTGGTGTGTCTCTAATCAGTATATCTGAAGCGGAAGAAATTTGTGGGATGCATGAAGGCAATGTTTAATATTTGAATTTATTACATTGAAGCATAAGGCCACCAAAATAATATTTGGTAGTTACGTGGACTACCATTGATGGTTTCTTTGGCTAATGAAAATTATTGTTTTGTTTCTTTTTAGCTCGGAGTCGTCACATTGTCTAATGTTTTATAATTCTCTTTTCCAAATATGCTTCTTCCTTAAACCATCAAAATGATTCCAAGAAGAAGATAAATTGAAAATGGAGAAAATAAGACCAAACTAGACACAAAATATAAAAAGAACGTGAAGATTTTCAATAAGATAATCGTTATGTTATAGATCAAGAGTGTATGCCCATAAAGATGTCAAAACACCTTGAAAATATATCTACAAAGAAACCTTATATAAACAACTCACATTATGACCGGAGACTAAAATTTATATTTTTGCTTTGGGGTCAAGAACAACTCCCAAAGGAACGTGGCCCTTTGGATAATACATCTTGTGGGATATCCAAGAATACTTTAGATTAAATAAATCTTGCTTACATTTTTTCTTAAAACTAATGAATGAGAATAAAAAAGTATTAATATGGTAATCTCAAATAGGATCGTCCTAATACTTCATAGCCATACCTATATATCGGGTTGGGGGTGAATTACCATATCCAAAATGAGTGTGTGGTTTATCAACAAATGGGGCCTATGAAGTGACTCAATGATGTGTCAAATGAATGAAAAGGGCTCAAATGGGGTAAATCAATAAAGAGGTAAGGGATTCCTAAGCAGGTAGAGATACTCGGGTTAGAATTCTATGGATCTGTCATCTAAAATTATTAAAATTCTATGTTTACGTAGTCTTGGAGGTAGTCGACCCAACTCAACCAAACATCTTTTGTTAGCAACCTATGTATTGTGTCATTCAAGAAATCCCATTAGCATTAAATTTGAGAGAAAGAAACATCAATAATGTATGACCTTATTCATATAAAATTGATAGAAATGAGACTTATACCTGCTGAGAAAGTAATAAGGAGGCCTTTGGAATGAAAGAGAAAAGAATAGACTGGCTACAAAGCCTAACCATCCCACAAAGAACTTATAACCCGTCTAAGTCGAGGGTCTTTAACATCCTAGTCGTTCTAGATAATCACTTAAACATTTAAATGTATGTTTGGATAGTCGGTTTGGAAGAGCAAGTGTAATTCTCGAGACATGCAAATATGATGCAATTATCTATAGAGTTTATTAATATGAAGGCGCTATTAATATGACTTGGAATATATTCATGCTTGCAATGCCATTTTAAATCATGCCCAAAGAACATGCAAGAAAAGTAAAGCATGAAGTAAAATGCTCATTTTAAAATGATTTACTTTTAATCTTAAGCTTTGCTTAAGATAAATATTTTATTATTTGGATTTTGTAGAAATTTTTTTATCCTAAAAGAGCATAAATGCGAAGATCACAAACAATCCACAATCACAAGAAAGAGAGAATTCAACACTCTACAGAAAATAAACACACACCAAATGAATAAATAAGAGAGTTCGAGACTGCTAGGTCGGTAACATATCTCAGAAAGACAAAATTGAAGTCAAGCTCTATATATACATACCTAATCCTAATGTCTATATAACAATATAAACTTGGAACTAAGATACAAGTCATGGGTATGTAACACGACTAAAAATGTGCTACTTTTTATACACATTTTACGGTCTTTTTTAATGATATTGTACTTTAAATGAAGGTATTTTGCATGATTTTAGTTTCAGGTACAAGAAATAGAGTTTTAGAGAAAATGGAGCAAAAATGATGCAATTTTGAGTCAAATGGAGCAATGTATAACACTTGAATAGAATCAGTATCTGGCGTATTTTGATTTGTTTTTCTATGTTTAATTTCCTTTACATTTATCACATAATTTTGAATGAAATTACACTTTTAAGATAGGTTATTTTCAAGTTTATCTTGTAGGTATAACACTTGGAGCACATTAGAGCTGAAATAGGGTGAAATGGAGCAAAATAAGGGTGCTGCCAGCAGGGTGGCGCCTAGGCGCCATAAAGGCCCAAAGCCGGTTTAGGTTGGTTTGGAC